CTATTATACATTTTTGTTGTGTGTGTGTGTGTGTGTGTGTGTGGTTACATGGTCGGTCAAATTGACAAACGTTGTAATAGAGTTAGGGTAGAAAAAATAACAGATAAAAAATATAAAGTTTTATTGAAAACAAAAACTTAAAATGTATTTAAGAGGTCTTAGAGATTACACAAATCAAATCTGAAGTTTTTGAGATGAAGAAAAAGTATTTTTAATTTTAACATTTCACGGGCTTTTCAAAACAAATACTCTATATGTTCACGGACAAATCTTTTTTTTAGTTTATTTAAAATACTTCACAAAAAAAAAGATTTTTTGTGTGTGAAAGGCTTATAATGTTACTGAAAGACTGCCAAATTTCGTGAAGATATACACTATATATTGTAAAAGTTAGAAGTGTCAAATCTATAAAGACTTTAAACAAGAGGTCACGTGGTTGATGAAATTGATCAAGCACGTATTGAGAGAGCAGAAGACTTGTAAATGTTTGTGGTTGTATAATCATTTTTAAATCTACCGTTATTTTGCTAAAAAATCGGAGGATTAAAAATATTTCCTGATTTTTATGAAACCATGTATGTTTGTGTAGTCTTTTAAACTAAAGTGGATGATGTAATGTCACAAGACTACAAATAATGTTGTTATAATCATAGCACACACAATTTTACCAGAAAAACCAGTCGTTTGTTTTTCACTCTTCTGCCACTGAGGTTTTTTTTTTTTCTCAAGCATCTTTAATTGTGCTTGTATGTGAATCTGAAAATGGGTATTGATATGATAACACAAATTTGTAAAAGATTCATTGTCTGCCAATTTGGTGCTTATATCACTGTCATCTTAGGTTTGTCCTCTTAATAAAAATATTTATTATTAATTGATAAATATAACTTTTTTTAATTAATCCATTATAAAAGTGTGATTTTTTTTCCATTTTTATCAAAACATAAGAATTGGAAGTGTTTATTGTAGCTTTTTTTATACCACTTAATTTTTCTGTCATGCTCTTGGCAGATTGTCCCAAAATGCTGTACCTCATTCAGACTTGACAGAATTTTTTAAGAGAGTAGTTTTATGTTACTGTTCAGTATTGTCATGTTTATAGCTGAGATGGTGTGTTGAATAACTCTGTACATATTCCACAAGCTTGTATATCATCAAGTGATTTATATCATTTAACTTAACAATTTGTCTTTAATACAAACAGCTCATCTACAGGAAAAGTTTATAAATGAGTGCTTCTGTTTTGCTGATAGTTTTCAAAATGTGTATGCTATGCAGATCAAAAACATTTGAGTCTAATATTACCATTAAAATGAAAGACTTGAAGCAAAAGTTTTTTATGAAAGTTTATGCCTAGAAACAGATTGAGCAAACATTGTAGATCTTTGTCTTGTATTTCTAAATCATGATTTATAATTATTGGTAAGTAACATGAAGGAAATATAATAAGCTTTTTCTTTGTATTTTGCTTTTAGCTGAGTTTGTGAAATTGTGGGAAGGTCGCCTAATCAATATTCACCCATCCCTTCTTCCATCCTTTCGGGGCAGTCATGCCCATCGTCAGGTACTTGAAGCAGGTGTTAGAATCACTGGGTGTACTGTCCACTTTGTAGTAGTAAGTAACATTTACTCTTTTACCCTACATAAGAAATGTCTAAGTATATGATTAGACCAGTTTTGTAAGTAAGTACACTTTAATTGTTTTCAAAATTTAACAACTTTGTGAATCATTTTGTTATGCTATTAGTATCATGAAATAAGCAAGTTTTACAGACAACTTAAATTTAACCTACATGTAATATGTAAATACAAAGATAGGGTTTTGATTAATGAAAATTTGATAGTGTTGTGGTAGTGTAGTCTTGTTCTGTATTCCTCATGAAAACCATTCCAAGGAACAGATTAGAATGATAGGTGAAACCAATTGGTATCTCGGGAGACAGTGCCTGGTAGGCGACATAATTTGTTTGCTCTGAAAAGTTGATTGCATAAATTTTATCAAAGTAGTATACAATACAATAGTTTGCATTTCTTCTTAAAAGTTTTTCCACTTTATTTCTGGACTTTAAAAAAAAAGTAACCTAAAATTGGTCATTGTAAATAAAAGCTGTCTTAAAGTATAGTTCTTCTATAGTCACAGTAGGACAGGTTTCTTACAAAGTTAGTAAGGCTTGAGGGGGTGGGCTTATATCAAGTTTTTTCTGATTCTAACCATGTAAAGAAGTGTAAGTACATGTGTTTAATGTTTAATTATGTATTGTTAATGATATGGTTTGAATGAAAGATCTGCAGACAGTAACATACCATTATAGCTGGAGGTAAAAACTATGTATTTGAAAATATCATTTTGACTTGAAATTTACCCACCAAACTCCCAAAATGAATAAGTATAGTTGTTTTAACAAGCTCAAGTTTATTACAAATGTATACTAGATAAGATGTAACACCAATCAAAATCTGTACTAAATTGTCAGTTCTAGCTGATTGTGAAAAGTTTATTGTACTTAAAAAGAAAATGCTGGTTACTCATGTTTACATGTAACTTTGAAGCCTGAAGTGGATGCTGGTCCCATAATCTTACAAGAAGCTGCCCCAGTGTTTCCTTCTGACACTGAAGAAGTATTAGAAAATCGGGTAAAGAGTGTTGAACACAAAATTTATCCACGTGCATTGGAACTTCTTGCTCAGGATAAAGTTGTGATGGAATCTAATGGGAAGGTAGTTTGGAAGCTGTAGGTTATAACCCTGCAGGTTTTCTCATTTTATTATACTTCCTAGAAAAACAATATGCCAATATGAACATTACCTTTTTTTTTTTTTAATTAATAATAATTTGTTTCTTTAACCCGTTGAGACTTGACTGATAAACTAGAATTTTTGTGAGAAAGTGAAAATTGAGATCAGACAGGATTCAATCACATCATTCTACTAATTCGACAGATACTTAGCCAACAAAGTTACCATGTCTTGAATGTAGCAAATCTCAGTTCTCACTTCATGGTTATTAAAGGAAAATTTTTCCAAACTAATTTCATAAAAACAGCATGCATCATGTTGCATTAGGATATTGTGTTAGTCACATAAGTTTTGTAACTTAAAACTCTTGTTGAAGTTTCTGTTAAAAGAAAAACACATTCTTTTTATATAAAGCCTAACAAGTTTCTTATATTCCTCCATGAAGTCTTATTTTTAATGTGTGTTTCAAGTATTAAGAAGTACCTAATATGTATATGATACAAGGAAATGTGTTATGTTGTATTAAATACATAGGAATATTAAGAATAACTTAAATAAGGAAATTTTGAAATTTAGTCTCAGACTTGTGCTCATCTAATATTACCTTGTGTTTATTTGTTTGATAATTTTTCTTTGTAAAAATACAATTACTTCTTTTTTTTGTGCTTTTGGGTAAAACAGTGATGAATTTAGTAGAAATTAATAAGCCTAATTTGTAAAAAAAAAGGCACAAATAGATCAAATATTGAAAATTAAAGTTTTTTCCTGAATCGTTTCCAGTTCCAGTATTTAATAAAAAAAGTGCATTTTATGTTTATTTGCAAACATCTATTATATCTTATAATACTCAAATATTTTACAATATCTTGCCAGTGAGTATAAAGAGAGTAACAAATTAAAATTTATCCAAAGAAAGATCTCAAGAATTATAAGTACAGATGTATTTTTTAATTATTTTAATGAAAAACCTTTTGTAATATTTTTATTTGTTAAGTAAATAACTCTATAACAGTATTTATAGTAACACTTTTCTTTGGGACAAAAGATCAATAAAAAATATTTTAACATCATTTGGTGAAGTAATTTATAACTAATTTCTTTTATTATAAACTTTCAAGACTGTGAATACTTTTTACTGTTTTTAACATGTAAGAACATTTTTTTATATTATTAACTTTAAATAATTCAATTAACCAGATACAATGGTACGTGTGGAATTATACTTTGCTGACTTTTGTTTTGTTTACTGAAGTTTTTTATATAAATATAAATCTTTACCAATAAATACTTACTTTTCTAGTTTTGTGTCTTTATTGTCTTATGGAAAAATTGACTTTTGATCACAAGAAAAATGTTTTGTGCTAATTCTACCACGTTATTAAATAATTTATTGTCACATCTGTTTCAGTTACTTACCTAGTTACTGTTAAAGTAAATGTCCTACTGTTCCCCTCACATTTCTGTTTATAAATATATTTGTCTGAAAACTATTTATAACAGTTGACAACTGGGAAGGATTTTAACACTGGAATTTTGTTTTACCACCTGTCTCACGAAAGAATGTAACAGAAGATATTTCATTATTCATCAATAAACAAAATTAATATTGAATCCAAGGTTCCACACTGAACATGTGGATAAAACGTTATGATTCCTTATACATTCTTTTATTTCAGTTTTTTTATCACTCACGGAGGAAAAAAAAAAATATTTCATGACAAAGATGATAAAAACTTGCTTGTTTTACCTTTTTCATTAAGGATGTAAAAAAAATAGGAGAAAACAGAAGAATATTAACTATTTTACTGAGTAGATTATCACTGGAAAACTCCTAGCTGCTAATCACATTTATTGTTTATTATTTCCTACTGTTTGGTTTTTAATAGATGTGATATATATGAAGAACTTGATCTAATGGTGAATCGGAGAAAGTCCAAAGTTTGGCCCATAATATTCCACAAAATAAGCTTTGCACTTTCAGCTGTGGGCATGTTACGAAAGTGAAAATAAATCTTGTTATTCTGTGTAGGCAGCAAATACTCCTCATTATTTGTCCTTTTTCCCTGGTCGATGGTTCTAAACTAACTTTGTGTCTCTGTCCTGGCTGTTAGCCCTAAGTGTCACATAAGGTACTTTATAGATTGCAAATACCTAATGCATCACATTAAGGTTGATAATAATTGTATTCATTAATGAAATAAGTGTTTCCATTAAGTAAAGTGCTTGAGAGCATTTCAACTACACTATCAGTTGATAACCTAACCAGCCTAATGGCATTGAGCGAAATACCTTATCACAGGTTAAAAGATAAATCACGTATCTTCTTTATAGAATAAATATAACAAATAATAGGAATGCAATTAATTCTTATCAGTGTTATTATCACATCATTATCAACTAACAGTGCTAGTATAAAACATGTTATGATTTAGGAGTTTTTGCATGTAAAGATTTGGTAATTAGGGCATTAACTTTTCAACTTCTGAAAAGCTGTAGTATTGTGAATTTTGTTTTAGAAAAATTTTTGGCAGAAAAGATTGTACTGAATCTTAAGATTTCAACTTAAAAACTGAAAAGTTGACAGCTCCTACACTTTAAACAGATTCAGTCCAAAAAGAACTCTAAGGTCAGTATTATAAGAGTTGTTCACTCAAAAGTTCTCCCAATGTCTAGTTTTCTGTAATGATAATGCCTGTCAAAAATTCAGAACTTGTAACAGTTTTGCTTTTACATTGCTCTTTTCACTATATATTTTATACTTTTTTCAATTCTCATCTTTTTTCAGTTTCTGTAGCTCTGTGTGATGCTGGTTTGCAAACACTACACACTTAACAAGGTACAATATGAGTTTAACAATTTAATAGAAAAACAGCAAAGTGCAAAACATTACTCAAACAAGAGGATGTTGTTAAATAAAACGCTTTTTTGTTTCTGCCATCTCTCTTATTGCCTTAATATTGATATTAAATATTTTTACTGATTACCTAATTAAAAGCCAGACCAGCCTTTACTTTCCAATATAATGTAAAAACGTTCTTGATGAGAATAGAAAAAATTGTTCATTGTGCTGTTAGAAAAGAATAGGTAACTAAAACTAGGATAAGGAAAAAACGTGTATACACTTACAATTAAGTTTATAACTTGAAATTTTGAGTAGTGGAAACGCCCCAAATATAAATCTCTTTTTCAACAACTGCACCATTTTAGTCCACCTAACATAGCGTTTCATTTTTTTTTTCAAGACCTAAATAATTAAATATATTTAGTACATTAAAGAAAAACCAACTTCATAGAAAGGTTCTGTGGCTCTTCTTTATGTACAAAATATTTTTGTATGATTAGAGTATATCCATATCTGTATGTAGTTATGCATTAAAGACCTCCAGGAGTACAATTTGTATATTCAGAGTAAATTTGTGGTTGTTTGTGATTATTTGCCAAATATCTCCATGAGTGTGTGTGTGTTTTGTATATTCAGGGTAATTCCATGGCTTGTTAGTAGGTACTTGTAAAATCCTTACAGGAGCATGTTTTCATAGTTGGTTGTGGTTACGCACTAAGTACCTTCAGGAATACTTTTGTATGTTCAGATACTTCCACATTTGGTTGTGTTTAAGCGCCAAATATCTCCAGGACTTTTTTTTTCTGCGGGATTTTCCGTATAAGTCTCACTGTTAAAGATAAACTAGCGTAGAGCCAAAAATGGCTGGGTAAGTACTACCACCCCATAGTATGCCCTAAGCTCACATTTCATAGCTAACTGAAATAAATTAAGCTTGACCAACAAAAAAGGCAGTCAAATGTCGGTAAATTCCTTTGTGAGCCAATTAAAATTAAGGTCATCCATGAAATGCATTTGTGGCGTATTCATAGAATAATTATTGGTAAAAATCAGTTAGATTAACAACTTTTAACATATAGAAAAGCCAGTGCGTTTTGGTCACACTACGTTCCAACAATGGCTTTTATGTCGTGTTGTTTAGCAACAAAAGTATAACCTAATATTGTTGTTCGTCTATGTACTGAAAGCATAAAATGAAATTTATAAACAACAAAACTGAAAAAAATACTTGTTGATTTCTTAATTTAGAGTCTCCGTTGATTAAAGAGGTTGATTAAAGATATAACAGAAAATAGCTTAATTCAGAAACGATTTAACTTTAAAATTGAATCGATATTTTTACTTTCATGATAAAATTTTATGCACTTGGCTCCAGACTGGGTGATCCAACACTACGTCTTTACTTTAGACTTATTATACCAACACTCGCTACACCTATAAGGTCTCACGGCCCCCCTGTACCCTCGTCACCAAAATCGTAATGGGC